CAACAACTTTAAGTCCCCCAAGAAGGGTCAGTTTGGAATTCCTCTCTATCATATCCTCTGACTTTGGCAATGTTGTAGCAGGGTATGAACTGGCTAATATACACATTTTAGTTTCAGGCTCATCAATGGGGTGTATATTTGTGGGTTTCATTAGTCTTCTCAACTTGCTAAACAATGCTTAACATAATCTGAACACTCCAATAAAGATATTTTTTGTGTTCTTATGTCAGAATCATGTGATCTTATTAACGACAATAATTTCAGATAATTTTTCATAAAATTTTTAAATAATTTCATTGAGTTTTTTGTTGTTGTTAATCCTCACCTGTGGATATTTTTTCCATTGATTTTTAGAAAGGGAGGGAGGGAGAAGGAAGGGGAGAGAAAGAGAGAGAGAGAGAGAAACGTCAATGAGAGACAGACTCATCGAATGGCTGCCTCCTGCATGTGCTCTGACTGGGTCCATGCCTTTGACTGGAAGTTGAACCCAAGACCGTTCGGTGCTCAAGCCAACCACTGAGCCACACCAGCCAGGGCTCACTGAATTTTTCTTAACCAGTCATATTAGTATTTACTTTACAGTGCCTATTGTATTTGTGGCCACCCCTCCAAGGAAGGCAGATGGCAAAATGGAAAAAGCTTGGGCCCTTTTAAATGAATCAGAAGTGGATTCAGATAACCACTTCTAGCACCACTCATTTCCCCAGGCTACTAAGTCTCCATAAGATGGGGATAATACTACTGTCCAAGTATTACTGTGAAATTGCTGTGTGACGATAATGTGTAAAGGCAGCAAGGGTTTTCCTTTATCCAGTCTGATGCTGCCATATTAGTTTTTTATTAACAGTGACACCTGCAGGTGGAATCCTGTGGTGAAAGTCAAGGTTGATAAAGATTTTCCTAGGCACCACTCATGTTTTCCTTCCTTAAAATACCTTAAAAGGATTTAAATGATAAGGTAGGCCCACCTGGCTGGTGTAACTCAGTGGCTGAGTGTCAACCCATGCACCAAGAGGCCACAGGTTCAATTCCCGGTCAGGTTGTGGGCCCAATCCCCAGTGGGGGGCATGCAGGAGGCCGCCAATCATGTTCTCTCTCATCGATGTTTCTCTCTCTCTCTCTCTCTCTCTCTCTCCCCTTTGCCCCCTTCCTCTCTCTCTAAAATCAATAAAGAAAAAAATCAATTAAAATAAATAAATTATAGGGTAGGCTCTGGCCAGTTTGGCTCAGCAGTTAGAGTGTCGGCCCTTGGACTGAAGAGTCGTGGGTTCGATTCCCAGTCAAGGGCATGTACTTGAGTTGCAGGTTTGATCCCCAGACCTGGTCAGGGTTGTAGAGGAGGCAACCAATAGACGTATCTGTCTCACATCGATGTTTCTCTCTTTCTTCTTCCCTCCCTTCCACTCTATCTGGTAATTAGTGGAAAGATGTCCTCAGTGAGGATTAACAGAAATAAATAAATAAATAAATTGTAAGGTAGTCACACTTCTTAAATCACTATCTACATTTCTGAAAATGTTGACTCAGCACTTTAAAAAAAAACTTATAATTTGAAATACAGTTGTCCCTTCAACAATTTGGGGGGTTAGGGAAACTGACCAACCACACAATAGAAAATCCATGTATAACTTAAGTTGGCCCTCTGCATATGCCATTTCCTAACCACTTACAACCTGCACATTTCAAATCCATGTTGTTCAAGGGTCAACTGTAATTAGAGATTCATAGGAAAGTGCAAAAGTACTATACAGAGAAGTTCCCTTCACCCAGTTTGCCCCAGTGGTAACATCTTAAATAACTAGAGTACAATATCAAAACCAGGAAAATGACATTGGTACAATCCATAGAGCTTATCAAATTTTACCAGTTTTACATGCACTCCTGTGTGTGTGTGTGTGTGTGTGTGTGTGTGTATAGATCTATGCAATTCTATCACCTGAGGAGATTCACGACCCAGCACTGCTTTGTCTCTTATGGTTGCTATGCTCTTTCAAAAACCTAATAATAAAAACAATATTTATAATAAGATATCTGCTTTTTTTTTAGTTCCTCTTTTTCTCCTTCTTTTAATATTTTTTCTTTATTGATTTTAGAAAGGAAGGGAGAGGGAGAGAGAGATAGAAACATTGATGAGAGAGAACGACTGGCTGCCTCCTGCATGCCCCCCACTGGGGATTTGGCCCAAACCTGGGCCTGTGTCCTGACCAGGAATCGAACGGGCAACTTATTGGTGCATGGGTCGATCGATGCTCAACCACTGAGCCACACTGGCTGGACTCCCTGCATTTATTTATTTGTTTGTTTTTTAAATAATAGTTTATTGAATTTTAGAGACAGAGAGGAAGAGAGGAGAGAGAAACATTGATGTGAGAGCACAACATCAATCAACTGCCTCCTGCACACCCCGCACTGGGGTTCAATCCCACAATCAGGGCATGTGCCCCGACGGAGAATCAAACCAGCAATCTTTTGGTACATAGGATGATGCCCAACCAGATGAGCCACATCGGTCAGGGCCACACCCTATTATTCAGACTGATAAACTTGGGTATAATTTCCCAAAACACCATAACATTTTCCAAAAGCAAGTGCTAGCCTTTATTCTAATCGAGACAAGCATAAAAGATTCCTGGTAGACAGCAAAACAACTCTTCTCTCTAGGTCTACACCTGCTGTCAGAGTGAGCAGCAGCAGGCTACTGGATGAGGTATTGGCCGTGTGCAAGTTGTTATGATAATTTTCTCCAGCAAACTGATTTTTAAAGATTTATAAAACATAGACATTCAAAGTATAAGTGTCTTTATAAAACAGCATCATTTAACACTTTGTTTATAAAATATATTCACTTTGGTCTTGACTCAGAACATACAAAGTTGGAGAAATATTATTTGCCCTTTGAAGTAGCTAAAAAAGCAGTCACACTAAATACTGGTATGTTTTTTGCTTGTTGGTGGAGAATGTTTGTTGTTATTTTTAACTATAGTGGTTGTCCAATGAGTAAAATTTTTAAAAAATGTTAATTAAACTCAAATTCAGAAATGAATTCCATTCACAAGAGCATTCAGATTCAAAGTAGGGTAATTTTTCTCAAAATGAAGACCGCAGCAGGCCTCTGTGAGGAAAAAAGGAGACAAAAGCTACAGAGCTCAGCCCTTTTTGAAACCTGATGTCACACTGATACAAGGCATCAGAACACACAGTCACACCAACATCTTTTTTCCAATTATCCTTCTTCCATCCACCTGGCCCCTGCTCCCACTCACTGCTTATGCAAGATCAGAGAGCAAGAACCAGATTATTTATAGAATCTGTGAAACAAAGAAAATATTATACCTGCTCTCTCTCTCCTAAAAATAGGAAAATCACTATACTTTGTTTTGTTATTATATGTCAGAAACACAGAGAAGCCTCCAAGAAAATACACAAATGAAAAAGTTGAGAACAATAATGTGTTAATTTAAATTAATTATAGGTTGAAGTTTTGAACCTAGCTGGTTAAAATGACAGTCTTCTTACGACTCTAGACATAACTAAGAGGAGAATGTGACCTAAAAGTTTTTGCTATGCTAAACTTCTACATTCAATAAAAAAATTATCAGCACCCAAGATGGGAAAGTTGGAATATTTTCTAGCTCTTCCTGAATCTAGTCTTACAGGTATAATATTTCATTATTTTACTGCAAGTAACATGAACGCTCTGCATTTCAGAAAATACATATAAAATGTAAATATAAAAACATACTCCAAAGCAACTCATATACAATGTATTTTCTCCATTTGTTAGACAATATATAGTTTATAACACAAATAGCCATATAGGAAAGAAGATAAGTTCACTCCCTTAAGGTCTCTAAAGACCCAAGATTATATGTTGCCTCTCTGCTTTATATCTTATTTATCTCATACAAAAGCCGAAATTTCACACAGAAATAATTATTATATGCAAATCAGTTGACTGTGCTGTGGGTAGTCTTAGTCCTTTGACTAGGCAACACTGACAACACTTTAGAATATAAAACTTCCATTAACAGGCAGTAATGTCTATGTGTTGTCCTTTGCAGATAAAAATGATACACTAATATATATATATGTTTATATATATATATATTTTTTTATCCTCACCCGAGGACATTTTTCCATTTTTTGTTCAGATAGAGTGGGAGGGAGAGAGAGGAACGGAGAGAGAGAGAGAAACATCGACGCGAAAGGAACACATCGAGTGGCTGCCATCCGCATGACCGACCAGGACCGGGGACAAACTGCAACCGAGGTATGCGCCCCTAGCGGGAACTGAACCTGGGTCTCTCAGGACCGCAGGCCGACGCTCTAACCGCTGAGCCAAACCAGCCAGGGCTACACTAATATATTTTTATTATTAATCTATGTGTGGCTTCGTTTATCTTTTCAGTGGTAGTAATTATTTTGCATTAAGCTCTGGCCAAGTTTTCTCTGAGACCAACAGAATCTTCTGAAATATAGCTGGTTGGGTTAGGGATGCAATTTGTGGTAAACTAATAAGACCCTTATAATGCCTCAATAACTGATGCTCTAAGGAAATGATTCATTGACCACAGATAAAGCAGAGCTAACAATCTTCACTGACTGCTGACCCATAGTATATTAAATATGATATGCAGCTCTCCAGCCCTCAAAGATACATCACCTAGTTGGACATTTCCTTCTGGTCAACATTAGCTATAGGAGTTACATAATTTGAACTATCAGCAGTTCTATATCAGATGAATCACAGCAGGAACAGTAAAATCTATTACATGATGAACAAACCTAAAACTCCAATGAAGTATGTTCATCCAGAAGGAAGGAAACACACACACACAGACACTGTCATCATCAGTTAATTTTACCACATTCCTCAGAATGTATTAAAATAGAATTATTCTAGGGACCCCCCCCCCCATAGTCATTTACAACAACCTCAAAACTACAATAAGTGATAACAGAGAGAATAATTAGCCCACAGAACTCACAAAGATGATTACCTGATAGTCTGGTTTTGTAAAATAATCCAAAGAGGAGATGTGGTCCAGAAAGATGCTGAATTCTGGAGGGAGATGTTTCAACATAAGCCTGTGGTCATACCTCTCCTTAATAGAGCCCACTTGCTCCTGAGAAGAAAAGAGAAATGGAACCCAAGTCAATTTCTCTTGGCAGCTACACATTAAGAGCCTCTCAGAAACAGTCTCAAGGGCATGTACTGGGGAATGAGATTGTGGATAATTCTATATAAAGCAAGAACTGAATTCATACTAATAGCTTAATGCACACCACTTTAGCGGGGTGAGGGGCTGGGTGCTTTAATGTAGAACCAAAGTGTAGCACAGAGTTCTGCATCAGTGAATCGATAAAACTCCCAAAGAAAAAGTTGATCTTAAATCTAGTCTACATTTTGTTATCAACATAGGTGTTTATAGTTTTCAAATCAAACATTATAATGTGACAATTAAAATGAAGAGTTTCATTGATTTATTAAAAAATAAAGAGAGAACTAGTGAAAATAAAAACTAAGAGGGAGGACTAGAAATCAAATCATAACTAGAAGTTATAATTGTACTTACATTAGTACCTATTTCTGTGTACATAAAAATGTCCAAATTAATTAGATCTCAAATATCAGCTTATAGAGACAAAAAAAAAAAATACATGTTGAGTATGATATAGTGAAAATGCTTGTAAATTTTAATTCTTATACATCAATATATTCTCAACAAAAATGCCTACCAAGGAGGAATTTTTATTCTTTCCTCTACCCAAAACTGACATTTCCAAAATTACCTTGTCCTTTATTTTTCTCCATGGCAGTTGGCCAACCACAAACTCCACCAACATGTAGAATAAGGACCAAAGGTCATCATGTCTTCCCATTTCCTTCATAAGCAAAACAAAATTCAGTCATATTATATGATAAAAATAATATATTAATAGCCCATTAATAAATGAATTAATTATGAAGTAAGAGAAGGGAATTGCTAAGGGCTGAGGGAAGTGAAAAAGGAAATTAGTGTTTAGTGGATAGAGAGTTTCAATGTTGCAAAATAAAAAAGTTCTAGAAATCTGTTGCACAATAATGTGAATATACTTAACACTATGTATTGAACACTTTAAAAATGGTTTACAGGCCCTGGCCGGTTTGGCTCAGCGGTTAGAGCGTCGGCCTGCGGTCTGGAGAGACCCGGGTTCGGTTCCCGCTAAGGGCACATACTTCGGTTGCAGTTTGTCCCCGGCCCTGGTTGGTCGTGGGAGTGGCAGCCACTCGATGTGTCCCTTCACGTCGATGTTTCTCTCTCTCTCTCCCTTCCTCTCTCTCCCTCCCACTCTATCTGTACAAAAAAATATCCTCGGGTGAGGATAAAAAAAAAAAAAAAAAATGGTTTACATGTTAAGTTTAATGTTATATGTTTTTTTACCACAATTTAAAAAAAAGAAGTAAAGGAAATACTAAGCCAAAATGAAAAGAAATCTGGAAACAAAATAAGTCAGCTGATGCTCAAGCTTTAGCTTTGGCTATTCTGAAGACATCTGTCATAGGTTTTATCAATCGGAGTTTTATCAATCAGGAAGGAGACAGATGTAAAGGCACTGAACCTACACAACACAAGAGTTGTAACTGAGCAGTTCTCCCTATAGCTACTATATAGCTAGGACCCCCAAAGGGCTATCTTTAGTGCAACATTTGGTAAGTATATTATATTGCTTTTTTTTTTTTCTGTGGAACTTAACCACGATCAAGGGATAAAGTGAGTGGTTAAAAAAGAATATGCCCTGAGAATTTGTTTCCACAGGCCTGCCACTAACTCAGATTTGGTGTTTAAATTTATTCCACTTTTGTGGTCTGGAAAACTAAGCCCAGGAATGAAGTATTTTCTGGGTGATTCTGTCCTGCAGTGATGACTGATATAAACCAAAATCCTCTCGAGATAAAAGAACCTTTAAATTTAGGACTTCTATGAGGCTCACCAAATATAAGCTCATTAAGTGAAATTATAAAATATATTAGAAAGCAGGCTACCATGAGTTAATGCCAACAAAAACTATATAGAATTAGATATTCAACTATTTCAGAAATAGAATTATAGGACACAGAATATAAAATAAGAATGTTTAAACAAACAAAAAATAAAATTAAAGTCATGAGAAAGGAACCATATTTTGTCCAAAAAATAAAATATCAATTATATTTGAAAAAGGACCAAAAAAATCTAGAAATAAAAAGTATAATTATATAAATTAAAAACTCAATGGACAGGTTAAAAAGCTGATCAAACACAGCAAAAAAAAAAAAAAAAAGAATTAATGAACTATAAGAAAGATCTAAAGAAATTATCTAGAATACAACATAGACACACAAAGAGTCAGAAAATCTGAGGCATGAAGGACAGATCAAGAAAGTCTAATATACATCAATTTGGAGATATGAAAAAAAAAAAAAAGGCATAAAGAGAAAGGGAAAGGCAATATTTTAAAAAGTCATGTCTGAGAATCTTCCAGAATCAATGAAAGACATGAATGTTCAGATCTAGGAAGCACAACTACTCCCAAACAGAATAAATATTAACAAATCTACACCTACACCTACACGTTTGAATGTATCCGCAGGACATACCAAAGACAAAAAGAAAATATCAAAAGTAGGCAAAGAAAAGTAAAAATTTAAATACAAGGTAACAACAATTAAGTGGTCAATGATCTTAATAGCAACCACAGAACCAGAAGAAAGTCAAGTAATTTCTTTAAAGTATTGAGGTAAAACAAGTATTAACAAAGGATTAAAATGTAGGACAACAATAAGACAAAATGAAGAGAGTTCAATGTTCTAAAAAGTCCTTATTTTGTTTGGGTATTATTCATCTTAAAAGTTTTAAGGTACCAAAAGAATAGAAATGGAGTGGATTATTTTTAGAAATGACCAAATCAGGATTGCAGAGTATGGAAAAAATATACCAGAATTATCTGGGAATTCTTTTTTAAATTAGACAAGCTCCTGTGAAGGTTTCACTAGTTGCACTCCTGTGTCACCACATAAAACTGACAATCATTGTTGTGAAGTGAGGTATAAAGCATTCTACTTCTCAGGTGTGTCAGGAACCAAGATGAAGGGTACAAACCACTGCTATACAGTATCAAATTTCTCTACCAAGGGCAGATGAATAACAAATACACAGGTTAACAGAGAAACTTTTAGAACACTCTGCTAGAGAGGCATTTAGAAGAAACCTCTACAAATACATAAAATCTCTAATAGCAACTTTGGAAATGCTTATAGAGCTATTATGATTTCTGAAAATGTTTATGCTTATCTCAAAAAGAATATCATATTTCAAAGATCCAAAGTTGATATAATTCTTTAATAGAGTAATTATAAAGTCTAATAATTATAAAATTTTGTAAGACTCTATCTGCAAAATAAGAGTACTTTCTTTTCAAGGCAGAATAACTGACTAGATATCATAAAATAAAACAACACTGAATCAAACCAAATGAGTTCAAATGCTTGGCAGAGTGCTACCCACTGATAAAAATACTTTTCCCATTTTCAATTTATAATCACCTCATAAGAAACCAAATTAACTGGGGCATAGCATATAAAACCTCAGCATACTCTATTATATTTAACATTGGTCAAATGTTTTTTTTTTGTTTTTCTTTAATCCTCACCCGAGGACATTTTTCCATGTTTTGTTCAGATAGAGTGGGAAGGAGAGAGAGAGAGAGAAACATCAACGTGAAAGGGACACATCGACTGGCTGCCTCCCGCACAACCCAACCAAGGTGGGAACAAACTGCAACCGAGGCACATGCCCCTAGTGGGAACCAAACCCAGGTCTCTCTGGACCACAGGCTGACGCTCTAACCACTGAGCAAAACTGGCTAGGGCTGGTCAAATGTTTTTTTTTTAAATATGTTTTTATTGATTTTTTTTAGAGAGAGAGGAAGGGGAATAGAGATAGAAACATCTATGTGAGAGAGAACCATCAACTGGCCACCTCCTACACCCCCACCCCCACTGGGGATCGAGCCCACAACCTGGGCATGTGCCCTGACCAGGAATCAAACCAGGACCTCTCAGTCCATGGGACAACGTTCAATCCACTGAGCCACACTGGCCGGGCAGCATTGGTTAAATTTTCATTAAAGCAATTTTGGCTTTACAGAACAAAAATAACAAAAAAAATCAAGAAAAGATTTATCGTTATTTATCAAGGAATCACTTGTTAAATTTCTTAATTATATCTAAACAAGTTCAAGGATCGAGAATCCATAAAACACCCACCTTTTCTACTCATAATTAAGGTTCAAGTTAAGACAAAAAGAACCAAAGTAAAAAAAAAAAGGGGGGGGGGGGTTAAGAATTTAACCCAAGAGAAAGGTGTATTTATTAAAATAAAAATTTTAAAGTTGTTTGCATTTGAGATATTCATGAAAACAAAAGATCTGATGGAGAAGGACTATCAGTGATTAGATGCCCATTACAGATAAAATGATGACCGCCGCTACATTTCATTAGGTATTGACAGTATATTCCTAAACAACTTCTAGAAATAGAACACAAATGTTTCATTTCTTCAAAACTCCATATTAAATTCATTAATATTCATTAATATTAATAGGTACTTATTTATACCTATTAAGGTACAAATCTATATCTATACACTTCACTATTATCTTTTTTGGCAAATTCAATTTTATTTACTATGCAGTTGTACACATCTGTTATCCACTACATACCTTACCATGCATTAATATTACGAATGCCTTTCCTTCTGCTCCAAAGCACTTTCCACACCTTTGTATTCTAACATAAAGAAGTCAGTTGAGCCCGGCCAGTGTAGCTCAGTGGTTGGGCATCGATCCATGCACCAAGAGGTTGCTGGTTCAATTCCCAGTCAGGGTGTATGCCCAGATTATTGGCCCAATCCCCAGTGAGGGGCACACACTCACTGGGTGGCCAATAGATATTCTTACTCATTGATGTTTCTCTCTCTCTCTCCCTCTCCCTTCTTCTCTCTCTAATATTAATTAAAAAAAAAATTTTTTTAAATAAGTCAATTGAATTCAAGTCATCAGCATGTTTACACAGATATGACTCAAATTCAGATACTTACTCTGTTCCGATGAGCATTGATTGATGCATAACGAACTGTCCCTCGAAAGCCTGCCACAGCTCTAGGCTACAACAAAACCAAGCAAAGAATAATAAATGAGCTTCAATTAGTAAAAGATTCAGTACACTTGAGTCCATATAGCAGATGTGAAAAACATGCATTACTGTCACAATAAAACACTATTTACATTTCTAACTATATTGTGAAATTATAGAAAATTAGAGATTGTGTTAAAATAGTAATAACATTTTAGTTATCAATGATCCCACTTTTCTACCAACATTTAAAATAAAGTGCCCTGACCGGTTTGGCTCAGCATTTAAGAGTGTCGGGCACTCAGACCAAAGGGTAGAGCATTCGATTTCTGGTCAAGAGCATGTGCCTGGGTTGCAGCTTTGATCCCTGGCCCCGGCTGGGGTAATGCAGGAGACAACCAATAGATGTGTCTCTCTCACACTGATGTTTCTCTCTCTCTCTTTCTTCCACTCTATCTAACAAAATTCATGGAAAAATATCCTTGGGTAAGGACTAACAAAAAAATAATAATAATAAAAAATAAAGTGGCATTTATAACAAATAAACTCTATATAACTATATTAAAATATTTTTTGTATTTAATGGCAAGTCTCAGTAATCAAAAGTTTCTGCAATCTATTTAAATCCCTTTTATTTTTTTAGCTGCCATTAACTGAAAATCATAGTCAAATCTCAATATTTTCCTAAGACATCACGACTAAGACATCACTTTGGTTGATAGAACTCTGAGGTTGGAGATTTCTTTTTTATTTTTTTAACCCTCACCTGAGGATATTTTTCCATTTATCTTCAGATAGAGTGGGGGAGAGAGAGAGAGAGAAAGACAGAGAGAAACATCAATGTGAGAGAGACACATCGACTGGCTGCCTCCTGCAATGACCCTGACCAGGGCTGGGGATGAAACCAAAACTGAGGTACATGCCCTTGACCAGAATCTAACCTGTAACTCTGGTCCTCAGGCTGACGCTCCAATACTGAGCCAAACCGGCCAGGGCTGATATTTCTTTCTAGAAGAAAAATGTGTAAGAGGGTATATATGAAAGCCCTTTTCACTGACTAACATTTCAGAGGTTGTACTTTTATTCATTACTTGACAAGTCTTCACAAACACAAAATTTTTTTTGTAGCATGTAATTCTGCCCAGTTATTTTCATTCCAATAACTGTTAGGATGAACGTATTATCACACTCTGCAGTCAACTATATGGTTAATTGAGCACCTAGACTTCCCCCTGATGGATTCTAGCCAAGACAAGCCCAGGAGACTTTCCAGTTAAGAGCACCCCTGGTCTGGCTCTGACTTTACTTCTGCCACAGGAAAGGTTGAATGAAATAATACCAGGTCGCTCTGGCCGGTTTGGCTCAGCGGTTGGAGCGTCGGCCTGCGGTACAGCGAGATCCGGGTTCGGTTCCCGCTAAGGGCGCATACCTCGGTTGCAGTTTGTCCCCAGCCCTGGTTGGTCGTGAGGGTGGCAGCCACTCGATGTGTCCCTTCACATCGATGTTTCTCTCTCTCTCTCTTCCTCTCTCTCCCTCCCACTCTATCTGAACAAAAAATGGAAAAATGTCCTCAGGTGAGGATAAAAAAAAGAAATAATACCAGGTCAACAAAATTCAGCCACCTTATAAAATGCAGAAAAGACAACTAGACCCAATTGGGGAAAACAGCTATATATACAAATAATTCTAATTCAAAGCAGATTATGATGGACATAATTAGCAAAGTACAATGAGCTGCGAAAGCCAAGGAGTGGAAGGATCAGTTCCATTTGGTGGGAAGGAAGAAGGAAAAATCCCGTGGAAGAAGGAAAAGTCTTGCCTGGCTGGTGTGGCTCAGTGGATTGAGTGTCATCCCATGGACTGAGAAGGTCCCAATTCAATTCCTGGTCAGGGCACATGCCTGGGTTTTGAGTTTGATCCCTAGTAAGGGGCAGGCAGGAGACCAATCTATGTTTCTCTTTCACATCAATGTTTCTCTCTCTCTCTCTCCCTTCTTCTCTAAATAAACCAATATAGACATTAATTAAAAAAAAGGAAAGTCTTAAGAATAGGCAACTTTTAACTGGGCCTTGACATAGGTGATCTTTTGAAACTTCCCTAATTGATGTTACTTTGGCTGACAGCTATGAAAATTACAAATGCATACATTCTTTCTGACCTGGCAATTTCACTTCTAGAAATTTATCTTACAGATATACTTGCATATATGCAGAAATAGTGAATGTACAAATTCATCTACTACATTAGTGTTTGTGATAGCAAAAGACCAGAAGTAACCCAAATGTTCACCAATAGGGGACTGATTAAATAATTACAGTACACTTTATAGCTGCAAAAAAGAAAAAGCTTTATATCTTGATATGGAAAGATCTATATACACTGCTAAGTGACAAATAAGTGCAAAATGTACATCATGCTACCTTTTGAAACAAAAAGGGGAAAATGAGTCCTGGCTGATTTGGCTCAGCAGTTGGAGCGTCAGCCCGTGGACCAAAGGGTCTTGGGTTCGATTCCCAGTCAAGGGCACACTGGGTTGCAGGTTTGATCCCTGGCCCTGGTACAGGTCGTGCTGGAGGCAACCAATTGTTGTGTCTCTCTCACATTGATATTTCTCCCTCTCTTCCACTCTACCTGAAAAAGCAATGAAAAAATAACTTCAGGTGAAGATTTTTAAAAAAGAGAAAAATGAGAATATACATTCATATTTATTGTATATGGATAAAAAAATTATGAAAGAATACATTAAGGAGCTAGTAACAATACAGCTACTTAAAGGTGCAGGGAAGGATAAAGGCAGACAGGAAACAAGTGGATAGGGGTGAAATGGAGATTTGTTTCACTGTTTGCTTTCTAATTTTTTTAAAGTCAGATTTATGAAAGCATAATTTACCTATAGTAAAATTCATACTTTAGGTATACACAGTTCTATGAGTTTTGACAAAGATATATAGTCATATAGCTACCACCGCAATAGAATATTTCTATCACCCCAAGGGTCCCTTAACGTCCTTTGTGATCAATTCCTTCCCCTCACTCCCAGTCTCTGGCAAACTCTGATTTCTGTCAATCACTACTCTTAGAATTGTCTGGGATTTCTTTAGATCTAACCATTCTAATTACTATGTAGCAGTATCTCACTGTGGTTTTCATTTGCATTTCCCTGATAACTAAAGATGCTTGCCCTGGCCAGTTTGGCTCAGCGGTTAGAGCGTCGGCCTGCGGTCCGGAGAGACCCGGGTTCGGTTCCCGCTAAGGGCACGTACCTCGGTTGCAGTTTGTCCCCGGCCCTGGTCGGTTGTGTGGGTGGCAGCCACTCGATGTGTTCCTTTCACGTCGATGTTTCTCTCTCTCTCTCTGTTCCTCTCTCTCCCTCCCACTCTACCTGAACAAAAAATGAAAAAGTGTCCTCGGGTGAGGATAAAAAAATAAATAAATAAATAAATAAATAAATAAATAAATAAATAAATAAATAAAGATGCTTAGCGTTTGTTAATACATCTCTTTGCCATCTGTAGTATCTCTTCTTTGATCAAATGTCTATTCAAAAGTTTTGCTCATTTCTATTTTTAAAAAATTACTGAGTTGTGAGAATCGTTTATAGATTCTGGATATAAGTCCCTTGTCAGATGTGTATTTTGCAAATATTTTTCCCAGTTTGTCGCTTGATTTTTCATTTGCTTAACAGTGTCTTTCAAAAATACTGTGTTAATTTTTTTTAATTTATTGATTTTAGAGAGAGAGGGAAAAGGAGGGGGAAGAAATTTGTTGTTCCACTTATTTATGCACTCATTAGTTGATTCTTGTATGTGCCCTGACTGGGGATCAAACCCATAACCTTGGTGTATCGGGATGACACTCTAACTAACTGAGCTACCCAGCCAGGACAAGTGTAAATTTTGATAGATTTTTAAGTCTTTCATTTTTGCAACATATGAATATAGTATTATCTTTTCAAAATTATATTTTAAAATACCTTTAGAAAAAAATGAGAGTGTTTAAAAATCTAACAGCATGCCTTATTAAAAAAATATCTAGGTATTTGAGTGAAAATGAAAAAGAAAAGAAAAAGTATATTGTACCTAGAAGAATTGGCAGAATTACAACAGGAAGAAGGAAATGCATTTTAAGTAAAACAAAAAAAATCCACAGTGAACAATGCTAAAAGGGAGGAAAATACTGTAAGTGTTAGGGAAAAGAGTTTGTTATGGTTAAAGTAAATGGTAAGAAAAAATAATGGAAACATAAGTTGAAACCAGATTAAGGATAGCCTTGAATGTCATATTAAATTGTTTAATTTACAGTCAAATGGAATTTATAAAAAATTTTTAAGTAGTGAAGTGATATGATTGAGCAAGTGCTTGACGTGTTCACTCTGCCTGAAGTATAAAGGATAAACTGGAAGGAAAGAAGGTAGGGAGATCAATGCGGAAACTATTTTAATAATCCAAACAGGAAACCAGGAGACCTGTACAAGGACAGAAGCAGTATGAATGTGAAGAAGGGGATAGCTGTTAGAGAGAGAATGAGCTCCCAGAAGAGTAAATCTAGAAGCAGAAAGGAAAGACTCTAGGCATGAGCCCAGATTTACTGCTAATCAAAGGGAGGAGACTCAGGAGGGAAAAGTGGCATAGAGAACTTTGTAATAAAATCCCCAGTGGAAATAAAATAGTTGAAATTCTGGAAAGGTAACAGAGCAAATGTTTTTAAAAAGTGTTCTTAATTAGGCCACTACAGCCTTAGGCACACTGGAAGTTTCAGATGAATGGTTAGGAAGGAGAAAATATGGCATTCCAAGAGCTTAGACACAAAGACCAATGTGAGATGCCAGCTGAAGGGCTAAGGAAACTGGGGCATGCTTTAAAGCAAGAGAGAAAAATGAGCATGCAAATTGAAATCATTAAGCAAATAGAAATTCAACTCTGAAACTGTATGAATCAAAGTATCTTTGTATCTCACATCTCTATTTAATGTAACTAATATACCTTTTTATTTTTAAAAAAAATTTTTTAATCCTCACCAGAGGACATTTTT